TACGGATCCGTATTCGTCATTGTACTAGTAACGCAAGTCGAGAATGCGATCACCGATTAATCACTTATATATTTTCGTGCTCGAATATCATCATCGGTTTAAATGTCGCGTATCTGCATTTATTCGAGCCGGACGTTTTTATTTTTCCGAATAAAAGATACGCTATTGTTTTTATCTTGTTGTTTCTTGCCACTCACCCCCCGGAGAGTGTTCTAATTTAAGTATTGTAATTTTCGCTTTCATCCAAGAACTTTTATCGAATAATTATTCCAGCGGTTATCGCATTTCCTCGTCGCTAGCAAAAGACGATTATTACCGAACTACGAGCCGCGCGTTGTCATTATGCTCGCCGCTCTTATGAGTTTTTCATCAGCATTTTTAACAGAGTAAATATTAATCGTTATCGTCATTGTATCGTTAAGATTACTGCACATAATAGAAAAAAGCTTAAGCCCGATTGCGCCGGTGTTTCTTTGATCACGGCACGGTCATGCTTTCATCAACGTTGGTCATATTTAACCGTAGTTTAATCCTTATCCGGGCAAATTATTTTTTCAAACTTATATTTATACATATATATATATTTAAGCCCGATTGCGCCGGTGTTTCTTTGATCACGGCACGGTCATGCTTTCATCAACGTTGGTCATATTTAACCGTAGTTTAATCCTTATCCGGGCAAATTATTTTTTCAAACTTATATATATACATATATATATATTTATAGAAGAAATAAACATATTATAATATATGTAAAAAAATATACTATTGAAAATTTTTGTATTTATTCTTAAAATCGCGGCATAGACAATTTTGCATGAAAAGTCGTTGATTTGTATAGATATAACTTGACGAATATGCTAATTCGAATAATGTTCACTATTTCCCATTAATATTTCGAGACTATTCGTGAATATTTGTACATTAAAATTTCCATAAGTATATTTGTTCACGACGTCTGACTCGCGTCGCCTGGAGATGAGGATTAACTTATTTATCTCGTATGAGAACTAGGACTAGAAGGAGACAGAAAATCGATTAAACTAAGGTTGATATTAATCGATGTTAATATAGCCTAACCGGCCTTGTAAATGCGCGCGGGGTAGAATCCGCTAACGATCGACCGAATTATTATAAGCCGAGAACCTAAGTAAGATCGCCCGCGCAACCGGATGCCGAGCTTATTTAAATATAAGATGTATGCCCTAATGAGAGGCAGAAAAGAAAAGAGACCACTTCGTGTACTTTGTTTAATCACACCGCCATCCACTTTCGTACCTCGCGCCCGCAACCAGCCATCACCGTTCTCGTTGCAACTCTAATTATTATTTATCGTTAGAACTCGATATCGCTGTGGAGTTACATACGTTACTGTCGTTATTAACATACTCGCGTTACGTTGTCTCGTTAATTATATTCTGTTATGCGTTTCGCATTGCCGAAAGTCACTATATATATATTAATATACACGATTATGAAAACAAACACGTACGTGTATGTACACATACGTGCATACATCCCTAGATACACACTGACACGTACATGCAGTCGTAATAGATATTATAGCTGGCATTAATCGACATCCTCTTTTGTCGCTGACCGACGCTGTAAAGTGACGCATCTGGCATGATTATAAATATATATACAGATATAAATATATAAATATATAAATATATATAGATATTATATATAAATAAACTATAAATATTATATATTAATTATATGTACGGATAAGAGCGAGCAACACACATTTATCTCGGGTGAAACCACCTAGGATGTGTCGAGACATTTAAGATAATGCACAGGGTATAGATGAGAGAATCGTTGATATAATAACTGATGTCTATATTATTATAGATGTTTCTTTCGTTCCGTCATCGGCCTCAAACACGCATACGATCGCGAATCACGTACGATCGAAATTTATTGTAGTAGATGTTTTTCAGAAATCCAACCCCTCTTCCCCTCCCTCTCCCTCTCCTCTCCCCCGATTCCGAGCGGCGGCTAAGAATAATAGGTGTCATCGGTGTGTTAATCGCGCAACAACGTTCATCACAAATCGCAATGAAAATTGGTGAGGATTATATACATGCATATATTCTCGCCTAGTCTCGCTGCGACTGGCGGATCCGCCGTCACACTATTAATTAATTGACTATTCGATTAATCAAATTAACTAACTGATTGTAAATTGATCGCTATATTAAGGACTTTACTATTAAGTATAAATATATATTATACAGATATAAAAGTGGATTCGCTGTTGAACGTGTCGAATAAACAAAGCAAAAAGAAAAAAAAGAACAAAATCCAGGAGTAAGTGAGTAAGAGAGCTTGGGCCGGATTGCCGGCCTCCGACATATTTTTTAATCGCTTCGAACCTCTATTATTCTACCTAACTAATTAAACGTAACGGTGTATCTACGTGTGCGTCCGAACGATCAATTGCCGATCCGCGTCGTCCTCGTCGACGGTTATTCCGTCGACGTCGTCGATCGGGTCGCGTTCGTTCGGGCTATCGAGATGTGTTCTGTATCGAATTAACGAATGTACTTCTCGAATATTCATTGCTATCCTACGAATAATCGCGGGATAAGGAAGGGTGACGGATGCTCGACGATATACCTTGCAAAAATTTCTGCTCCTTGCCGCCCGAACCTAACGAAGCCCACGCAGATCTCCAACGGACGTTATATATTGGGTGCTCACAGTGGATACCCGAGTATCCCGCAATATGTAAATCTGTATGTCTCTACCCGTACTACGATATTTTATGTGAAAAATGAATTGTTACAAATACATTACTGATATAACACCGAAAAATAATGGTATTCTTTACCCGAAGAAAATTTTTAATAAGTATATAACGCTCGACGCGATCATTTTTTGGTAACTGTATTTGTGCTCTCCTTCCCTTAATGCGATAACATATGATCCTTTTATAATAACTTGGTATGAAGAGGAATTTTCGCGCGCGTGATAGCGATATTAACAATATTAACGCTGCGGGATATTCGGAGGTCTGATAAGTACCTAATGAATACTCAATGAAAGTCGAAGTTCATGTTGATTTTTCGAGAAAAAAGAAAGACCTTCAGTCGTACGTATGTGTACAATTGACCGAAAAGAGCAGTCAGACGGATCATTTGGACGAATATTCGAATCGTAGCACAATCGCGCGAAAAATCCGACATCCTCGCCTGTCATTTTCCGAGGCTAATGTTTTAACAAGTTAACTCTCTAGACTACTATCGAATCGATTAAGTAAAGGGACAAAATCGCCATGCGTTTAACCAATTATTAAAGGATCATTAAGTGTAGCTGAACTAAAAATTGTTGAACGTATGATATGTGTTGTGTTTTAAAAGAAAATAATAAGAGAAAAATAACGAAAGATATAACGATTTACTTTGCATACCTTTGAGGCCGGCATGACAATGATCGTTTCGAAACGACAAGGCGAGAAGATGACGACGGTTACATGGACCCCCGATCAGCGGAGGTAATTTTCGGTCGAAAGACGAAATAGAATTCGTGATTTTTATTCTCCAGCTATTCTTGTGCACGATTCAAGATATCAATTGACGTCCCGTCTCGATCTGTTGTTCGTGATTTGGCGATCGTAAGCCAGAAAAAAACAACGAGAGTGCATTGATATGCTCTTTACGATCGCATCTGAATCGATCGGTTGATGTATTCTTATGACAAGAATTGCTGAAAAACAAAATTAAATTAGAATAGTCCTAATATACTTCTTTCAGCAATAAAATGATTTTTCGATTTATTTATTACATTAATAAACGTAGTTATAACGCAAGTAATAGACATTTGTGAGATCAGCGAGCATGTCATTGTTGTAGCGATTTTTCAAATAATGAAAGGAGTAAAAATTCATGACGGAACACATAAAATTTAATTTTTGCTATATTTATACATGGAAGCGTGTTTTCGCGAAGAAAAAAAAATATAAAGCATCATTCTCTATCATGTGCACGTATGGCGCCGATCGCTTCAAACACAAAATGAAGAAATTAAAAAAATTGATAACGAGATTATAAACAAACATATTTACGAATCGTGCATTTTTTCTATGAGTCAACTTTCGCTGTTGTTGTTCTCTTGGTCTATTAATGTGTATCTCACTATTAATAACTCATCCTCTGTTATCGCTGTGAAAAAAAAAATAAAAATAAATAATTACAAAGTCATCGAGAGAAGATTAGTGACGATCGAAAAAAAAGAATTATAAAAAAAAATTAACTTTTAGTCTATTCAAAATGGCAAACAGAATGAACGAAGTCGCGTAAGCAACCCTCTTGTAAATTTTAAATATTCCGTGGAAATAGATTTTTCTCTTTCTCTGGGCTCACCCTAATTGTGTCATTGGCAGTTTGTGTCAAAAAAAAAAAAATTAAATAAAATAAATTAATTCGTTAAAAGAAGCGGGATGCGTTTGTCATTTGGATGTCCCTTCTATTCTCCCCCTCCCCCCTTACTTCGTTATTATATACGCGATAAGAAATTTATTATTTTAATAAGAATTTAAGAGTGTTAAATGTTGCTGCGATTATATATATTTTCTATACAAGACCAGAGTTATATATCTTTCAAACATAGCCTTAATTTATATTATTATTATAATATAGTCTGTATACCCAAACAGCACAAAAGATATCTTAACATTTAACGGTCGATGTAAGAGAGACGTCCGTTAGGAATATATATATGCTATCTGAATATTATTATATTCTTAGAATGTATATGTTTTAACTAAGAATCGTTGAATTCTTACTTGACCAAGCAAAAGTGTTAAAGAATTGTAGATATTGTTTTTCTTCCGTATAAAATATGACTCGATGTCTCCCGTAAAGTACCTTCTTTGTATAATTCAAAATAATCTTGCACTAACAGTTTCACCGCGAGAGAGGGAAAATGACTAGCAAAAATTGGCGCAAAAAAATTCGGGAACGACGCCATCTCTCGAGGTTATTTTGAACTAAAAAAAAAACATGGTCTCCGATTAGAATGCGAAGTGCGTCGCATCAAGATGTTTCTTTGATCTATGTTTGAAGAGCCACACGGAAAAGTGTCAGCTCATTATAGACATTGGGAGTGTGTATATTATTATTAAAAGTTCGCAATGCCGCTGGAGAATTTGGAAGAGGAAGGTTTGGAGAAGAATCCGAACTTGGAATTAGCACAAACTAAATTCTTGCTAAGCCTTCCCGAACACAAAGATGATCCCCATCTGAAGACGAAACTCCTGGATGCTATCAAAACCGATAGTGAGATTGCATTTTTTTCATACCCTTATTATATTATTTCTTTAAAGCTTCAATGTGATTTAAATTATTTAATAAATCTTGCTATCTTTTCTTTTTTATCTTGGTTATTGAATATATTATCTGTCAATATTCATGACATAACCTTCATGTCACATTAACTACTATTCATTAATTATTTAATAATATAATTATCAAAATTTAATGACATTATTGTGAAATCCATCTAACAATGATATTTCTAATAGATATGGCTCCATTCTATGAAGAAGTATGTAAAAACCTGGATTGGCCAGTAGATGAAGCGCTTCTTTCAACGATGAAGGCACATAATGCGGAACAGTTGAAAAAACTCGATGACACTATCGAAGATGCTGAGAAAAATTTGAGCGAGATGGAAGTTCGGGAAGCCAACTTGAAGAAATCTGAACATCTGTGTCGAATAGGCGATAAGGAAGGTGCAATCTTGGCATTCAGGAAAACCTATGACAAAACAGTATCATTAGGACATAGACTAGATATTGTGTTTCACAATATTAGAATTGGCTTGTTCTATCTGGATCATGATCATATTACGAGAAATATCGAAAAAGCTAAATGGTCAGTAAAGATAAAAAAAGATTTTGTCAATTATCATAATTTTATAATAATTAATGTATTATTCATTTTAAAGTTTGATAGAAGAAGGTGGCGATTGGGACAGGAGAAACCGTTTAAAGGTCTATCAAGGAACATACTGCATAGCAGTTCGCAACTTCAAAGAAGCTGCAAACTTCTTTCTGGATACAATTAGCACATTTACGAGTTACGAACTTATGGATTATAATACATTTGTGAGGTACACAGTATACTTAAGCATGATAAGCCTACCACGTAACGAACTGAGAGACAAAATCATTAAGGGATCCGAAATATTGGAAGTTCTCCATAGTAATCAGGATGTCAAGGATTATTTGTTCTCGTTGTATAATTGTCATTATGCAGACTTCTTCAAAAATCTTGGTAAATTAAATTAAAGTTAAAAATTTTTTTTTTTTTTCATATTTGGAGAAACTTTATCATTATCAAAATATTGTTTCAGCACACGTTGAAGGTTTACTGCGCCGAGATTATTTAGTATTTCCGCACTATCGATATTACGTTCGAGAAATGCGGATTCTCGCGTACACGCAGCTACTGGAATCTTATCGATCTTTAACTCTCCAATATATGGCTGAAGCATTTGGTGTTACAGTAGAATACATTGATCAGTAAGTGTATAATTATTATTTAATTTTATTATCTTTATTTTTATATAATTAAAAACGAATAATCGCGGGATAAGGAAGGGTGACGGATGCTCGACGATATACCTTGCAAAAATTTCTGCTCCTTGCCGCCCGAACCTAACGAAGCCCACGCAGATCTCCAACGGACGTTATATATTGGGTGCTCACAGTGGATACCCGAGTATCCCGCAATATGTAAATCTGTATGTCTCTACCCGTACTACGATATTTTATGTGAAAAATGAATTGTTACAAATACATTACTGATATAACACCGAAAAATAATGGTATTCTTTACCCGAAGAAAATTTTTAATAAGTATATAACGCTCGACGCGATCATTTTTTGGTAACTGTATTTGTGCTCTCCTTCCCTTAATGCGATAACATATGATCCTTTTATAATAACTTGGTATGAAGAGGAATTTTCGCGCGCGTGATAGCGATATTAACAATATTAACGCTGCGGGATATTCGGAGGTCTGATAAGTACCTAATGAATACTCAATGAAAGTCGAAGTTCATGTTGATTTTTCGAGAAAAAAGAAAGACCTTCAGTCGTACGTATGTGTACAATTGACCGAAAAGAGCAGTCAGACGGATCATTTGGACGAATATTCGAATCGTAGCACAATCGCGCGAAAAATCCGACATCCTCGCCTGTCATTTTCCGAGGCTAATGTTTTAACAAGTTAACTCTCTAGACTACTATCGAATCGATTAAGTAAAGGGACAAAATCGCCATGCGTTTAACCAATTATTAAAGGATCATTAAGTGTAGCTGAACTAAAAATTGTTGAACGTATGATATGTGTTGTGTTTTAAAAGAAAATAATAAGAGAAAAATAACGAAAGATATAACGATTTACTTTGCATACCTTTGAGGCCGGCATGACAATGATCGTTTCGAAACGACAAGGCGAGAAGATGACGACGGTTACATGGACCCCCGATCAGCGGAGGTAATTTTCGGTCGAAAGACGAAATAGAATTCGTGATTTTTATTCTCCAGCTATTCTTGTGCACGATTCAAGATATCAATTGACGTCCCGTCTCGATCTGTTGTTCGTGATTTGGCGATCGTAAGCCAGAAAAAAACAACGAGAGTGCATTGATATGCTCTTTACGATCGCATCTGAATCGATCGGTTGATGTATTCTTATGACAAGAATTGCTGAAAAACAAAATTAAATTAGAATAGTCCTAATATACTTCTTTCAGCAATAAAATGATTTTTCGATTTATTTATTACATTAATAAACGTAGTTATAACGCAAGTAATAGACATTTGTGAGATCAGCGAGCATGTCATTGTTGTAGCGATTTTTCAAATAATGAAAGGAGTAAAAATTCATGACGGAACACATAAAATTTAATTTTTGCTATATTTATACATGGAAGCGTGTTTTCGCGAAGAAAAAAAAATATAAAGCATCATTCTCTATCATGTGCACGTATGGCGCCGATCGCTTCAAACACAAAATGAAGAAATTAAAAAAATTGATAACGAGATTATAAACAAACATATTTACGAATCGTGCATTTTTTCTATGAGTCAACTTTCGCTGTTGTTGTTCTCTTGGTCTATTAATGTGTATCTCACTATTAATAACTCATCCTCTGTTATCGCTGTGAAAAAAAAAAAAAATAAAAATAAATAATTACAAAGTCATCGAGAGAAGATTAGTGACGATCGAAAAAAAAGAATTATAAAAAAAAATTAACTTTTAGTCTATTCAAAATGGCAAACAGAATGAACGAAGTCGCGTAAGCAACCCTCTTGTAAATTTTAAATATTCCGTGGAAATAGATTTTTCTCTTTCTCTGGGCTCACCCTAATTGTGTCATTGGCAGTTTGTGTCAAAAAAAAAAAAATTAAATAAAATAAATTAATTCGTTAAAAGAAGCGGGATGCGTTTGTCATTTGGATGTCCCTTCTATTCTCCCCCTCCCCCCTTACTTCGTTATTATATACGCGATAAGAAATTTATTATTTTAATAAGAATTTAAGAGTGTTAAATGTTGCTGCGATTATATATATTTTCTATACAAGACCAGAGTTATATATCTTTCAAACATAGCCTTAATTTATATTATTATTATAATATAGTCTGTATACCCAAACAGCACAAAAGATATCTTAACATTTAACGGTCGATGTAAGAGAGACGTCCGTTAGGAATATATATATGCTATCTGAATATTATTATATTCTTAGAATGTATATGTTTTAACTAAGAATCGTTGAATTCTTACTTGACCAAGCAAAAGTGTTAAAGAATTGTAGATATTGTTTTTCTTCCGTATAAAATATGACTCGATGTCTCCCGTAAAGTACCTTCTTTGTATAATTCAAAATAATCTTGCACTAACAGTTTCACCGCGAGAGAGGGAAAATGACTAGCAAAAATTGGCGCAAAAAAATTCGGGAACGACGCCATCTCTCGAGGTTATTTTGAACTAAAAAAAAAACATGGTCTCCGATTAGAATGCGAAGTGCGTCGCATCAAGATGTTTCTTTGATCTATGTTTGAAGAGCCACACGGAAAAGTGTCAGCTCATTATAGACATTGGGAGTGTGTATATTATTATTAAAAGTTCGCAATGCCGCTGGAGAATTTGGAAGAGGAAGGTTTGGAGAAGAATCCGAACTTGGAATTAGCACAAACTAAATTCTTGCTAAGCCTTCCCGAACACAAAGATGATCCCCATCTGAAGACGAAACTCCTGGATGCTATCAAAACCGATAGTGAGATTGCATTTTTTTCATACCCTTATTATATTATTTCTTTAAAGCTTCAATGTGATTTAAATTATTTAATAAATCTTGCTATCTTTTCTTTTTTATCTTGGTTATTGAATATATTATCTGTCAATATTCATGACATAACCTTCATGTCACATTAACTACTATTCATTAATTATTTAATAATATAATTATCAAAATTTAATGACATTATTGTGAAATCCATCTAACAATGATATTTCTAATAGATATGGCTCCATTCTATGAAGAAGTATGTAAAAACCTGGATTGGCCAGTAGATGAAGCGCTTCTTTCAACGATGAAGGCACATAATGCGGAACAGTTGAAAAAACTCGATGACACTATCGAAGATGCTGAGAAAAATTTGAGCGAGATGGAAGTTCGGGAAGCCAACTTGAAGAAATCTGAACATCTGTGTCGAATAGGCGATAAGGAAGGTGCAATCTTGGCATTCAGGAAAACCTATGACAAAACAGTATCATTAGGACATAGACTAGATATTGTGTTTCACAATATTAGAATTGGCTTGTTCTATCTGGATCATGATCATATTACGAGAAATATCGAAAAAGCTAAATGGTCAGTAAAGATAAAAAAAGATTTTGTCAATTATCATAATTTTATAATAATTAATGTATTATTCATTTTAAAGTTTGATAGAAGAAGGTGGCGATTGGGACAGGAGAAACCGTTTAAAGGTCTATCAAGGAACATACTGCATAGCAGTTCGCAACTTCAAAGAAGCTGCAAACTTCTTTCTGGATACAATTAGCACATTTACGAGTTACGAACTTATGGATTATAATACATTTGTGAGGTACACAGTATACTTAAGCATGATAAGCCTACCACGTAACGAACTGAGAGACAAAATCATTAAGGGATCCGAAATATTGGAAGTTCTCCATAGTAATCAGGATGTCAAGGATTATTTGTTCTCGTTGTATAATTGTCATTATGCAGACTTCTTCAAAAATCTTGGTAAATTAAATTAAAGTTAAAAATTTTTTTTTTTTTTCATATTTGGAGAAACTTTATCATTATCAAAATATTGTTTCAGCACACGTTGAAGGTTTACTGCGCCGAGATTATTTAGTATTTCCGCACTATCGATATTACGTTCGAGAAATGCGGATTCTCGCGTACACGCAGCTACTGGAATCTTATCGATCTTTAACTCTCCAATATATGGCTGAAGCATTTGGTGTTACAGTAGAATACATTGATCAGTAAGTGTATAATTATTATTTAATTTTATTATCTTTATTTTTATATAATTAAAAATTTATTATATTTGAATTTATGTTACCTATTATTTTTGCAGAGAATTGTCGCGCTTTATAGCAGCTGGTCGATTACACTGCAAAGTCGATCGAGTTGGAGGTGTAGTGGAAACAAATCGGCCAGACAGTAAGAATTGGCAATATCAGGCGATGGTAAAACAAGGGGATCTTCTGCTCAACAGGGTGCAGAAATTATCGCGTGTTATTAATATTTAATGTCATATATTAGCATCAACACAGAGAATATATGCTATCAACTTAAAACGATCAAGATCGACTATTTGGATCTTTTCCATATATCTGTTTTAAAGAGCCTGTGTGTTCAGTTTTAGCATAAATTTTGTAACAAAGAAAACTAAAAAAACTCGTGTTTGATTTTGTAAACAAGATATACATACACAATATCTCTCAAATATACAATATTATTTATTTATCCTTAACTTTTTCAGCATTGCCAATTAAGGCGTGCGTATCTTATTATAACAACCCTTGAAATGTTATTTCGAAACATTTAAATGATATTGGAGGCGCTTTTTGTACAACATCAAAACCAATCTTTAAATATTATTGTATATTAGTAATCGATTGTTACAATAATAGTCCTGATAAAAGAGTACAGTTTAGTATTTCAACTAATACATTTTTTTTTACTCTGAATAAAGTCTTTAACAAACAATTTTTTAATGGATATTCATAAAATGTATCATGCATAAGTAACATTCACATTAAAAATATGTTACAACAGCATACTATATTTATTTACTCTTGAAGAAAAGAAAATTTAAGTTAATAATTGGATAAGTAAGAACTTGTCAATGTAACAAGATTGCAATGTTATTTGTTCAGAAAGAAATTTAACATAATTTCAATTAAAGTAAATTTTATCGATATACTGCTACTTTTTGTCTCAAAGTTTTTTTGTTTATCATTTAAACATTTTTTTTAACTTCATTAAGCAGTTGTAACAAAGGCTGTGTTCCGATATTCACTACCAGTACTGAAAATCTACTGTGCACGTGATGTAAACTATAGATTTTCAGTACTGGCAGTGAATATCGGAACGCAGCCAAGGTAACATGATTATTTAAACCTTAAAAATATAACAGTAGAAATTGATCTTAAGACGTGTGTGTGTTTATATATATATTAGTGTTTTAAAAAAATTATGTTATAATATATTATAGAAAAATTATTTTTATTGAATCGCAATGAGAAGTAACTATTGTTATTTGATTTTGATTTGCATATTTTTGTATAATTAATTGCAAGTGAAAAATCAGATAATAGTCATGCATGTATGTTCTAGATAATTAAAAATGGGGCAGAAAAAATCAACAAATGAAAATTACTTACAATATGCATATCCAGTATGTAACAATCAGCAAGTAGTGTGCATCATCAAAGTGTAAACTGCTTATATTATATGATTGTCGAAAAATCACAGAATCCGTGATGCAATTTCTACTGAAAATGAGATCGAAGAAACCATTATTAATTGTTGAATTTTGTATATTATACGTTTTATGTATTATATTTTTAAAGATTACACGAGTAGAATCGGAAAAATTCGATGCGAGTTGTGCAGGTTTTGAAGTTTAAAACCGCGATTGAGATATATTACACTAATCTATAAATATTATTTATTAGAAATAATTAACCATCTGTGTTATAGATACAAAGATTCATAAGTTAAACAAAGTTCCTTCAGATAATTAATTGTGTAGAAAATGATGTGAGCAGGATAACGAAAACCGGAAATATTCAATAATATATCAAAGTATATATATGTCTTTTTGTATTTTTCGTCTTTCATGTTTTTAACATTAAACAAAATTCTCAAAAACACTCGTAACGTAAACTGTTTAAAAAATGAAAGAAAATTTTCATACATATATATATACACATGTATTGTCTTAATCCGTTTTTATAATACGAAAATTATGTTAAAAAGCTAATATGGAAAGCTCGTAACAAAGCACACAGGCATGTAACCTAAGCATAGATTTCAGACAATGAAAATAAGCTATTGAATTAATTAAAAATGTAATTAACGTGGATATTAAGATTCACTGTACATATACCTAAACGCGGTCATTCCATTCTAATCCATTTGAATGCAGCGAAGGGCAAGTTTTCCCGCCTGATAAAATTCGCTACAGTCAGAGATAACGCAAATGTCTGAGAGAGTCCGATCAGTCGTTCGTAGCAACCGACGACTCATATTGACTGCGGCTGTCTTAACCAATGGCAATGCATCAAGATTGACCAATGGGAGCAAAGATTACTTTGTCCCGTTCGGACAAGTAAATTCTTCCAGCATTTATAACGTCAAGATAAATGTAACCATTGTCAATATTGTATGACATTTGTACCGGACTCGTCATCATCCAAAAATACCGGCAGAACGATAATTGAGAGCAATTGAGAGGAAGACCGGCGAACCTGTTGAAGCGAGATCGCGCGTCGTTGAGGACGAATATCTCGATATCGCCACTCTGTCGTGATGGACAAGACGAAGTTGGTCAGTAACGACCTGGAGCTGCCTCCGCTGCGCAGCCTAGACGATTTCCTGTTGGAGTCCGCGCGTTTCCAACTACCAAATCTCAAAGACTTGGAAAAATGGGGCAATCGGGTGGTCAACAATCTTCTGTATTATCAGACCAATTATCTATTCTTGTCCGTCATTATCTTCCTCATCGTTGGGTGAGTTATCTTTATAATTCTTGCAAAAGTGATTGTATAAATTGCGCGTAATTAATCTTTATTTAATTATTTATTTATTTTTATAAATCAATGCTCAATTTTTCTAAAACTTTGCCAGTTGCCAAAAGCTTGTTATAGTATGTTTTGGACACATAATATCCCTTTTTTATTAACCAGTTCCAAAATTATAAGACAGTTTAATATTAATATTTTTTTCATTTAAAATTTTTAATTTTTTCATGTAAATATCTTATATTTTCTCGTGCTTTCTGTATAAATTTATTTATGGCATATTTATTATATGAATTCTATATATATAGATTACTTCATCCTGTTAAAATGCTAGTCGGTATGCTAGCAATGATGGCAATTTTGGGAACATTTGTTTATGTATCTATGGAAGGAAGTATGATACATAATTTTAAAAGGCAATATCCAGCAGTTGGAGTGTTGTTTATAATATTTGCTGGATGTTTCATAACATATACTCTGGGATCTCTATTAGTTTTCTTGCTGGGCATTTTGTTACCTTTCTGTGGTATGTGCGACAATTGATACTATTTTATATCACCATATATATTAATCTTGTTATTTGCTGCTTTCACTATTTTTTGAGTAATAGAAATCAAAAGTTAATTACTTTACTTATCATATTAATATCTTCAGTGACATTCGTGCATGCCTCACTGAGATTAAGGAATATCAGAAACAAGCTTGTCAACAAAATTGAAGGCATCGGCTTGAAACGTACACCAATGGGTGTGTTTCTGGAACATCTTGGTATGGAAGAAGAATTCTTTTCATAAATTTCTATAATTTATTGTTTTCAAATCATTAAGATGAGTTGATTGAAAATGCTTTATAATCTTTAACTACTTTGCTCTATATTACTCATATAATACCATATAGGTTTTTCATACCAATCCTTATATTATAAAGTTTTGACATCTATTTTTGAATATTCCTTAGACAAAACTTTGAAAAAAGAAGATAGACATATATTTATCTTCAATATTATCATGCATTTTCTTATGCTCAATAGTATTAATAAAAAAAAGAAATTTTCCAATATTTAAAAATCAATTTTCCAATATTTAAATTTCAAATCAATATATTGTTAACAGCAAAACACCATATTTTCTTATCTAGTCGCCAAGTAATATTTAATATTTACATGTTATATTTTAAAAGCTTATATAATGTTAATATTTTTAATCAAATCTATATATTTATTGATAGTGTATGAATGAAAGTAACAAACTTATTATTTATTAACAGTATTTAATATTTTTGGACAGTGTTTTGTCTAATATGGCTTTACCCACTGTATGTACATATATATATATATATATACACAATGTACAACATTTAATACATATAGCGTTGTCTCTGAATATATGTTTATTATTAAAAGAACTCTTTAAGGATGTTCTGTAGCATAGACAGTATATTGATATTATTGTACTGATTTAATATATGAAATCTGTTTGATGAAAAGATTATCGTTATATATTATGTACTGAAACATGTATATGAATAAAAACACTTGAATTATCTTTCTTATTTTTTCAAAGAATTTTAACAGGTTATCTCCAGAATACGACATGTTGCATTATCCACAAGAGAATTTTAAAAACTGCATTTACTAACAATATATATGATTTTTTTAAATACTTAATTTCTTTTTTATTTCAATATTTGCTAAATTTATTCATTAATATTAAATTTTGGCGAATGGATTGGCAGACACATATTAGACATTAATTATTGGCTCTTACATTATAATTTTGTTAGTGATACAACACTATTTATTTACTGTTATTGTATGGAATTCTATTAATTATGAATTATGTTATCTAATATTTTATTATTTTTTTCTCATTCCACTATATAGAAGATGTGACTGGTATGACCCTGCGCGCCCAGACATCATTCATGCAACCGCCTCATTAATATCCTGCTTTGTCATCAGGTTGTATATTAAATTGTTAAAAATTAATATCAATAACCATCGATATTTTCTCCGCTGCTACTCTAATCGAATCACAGTGTTTCGCATGTTATTATCATGATGAGATAAACCTTGTAATATTTCAGAATATAGATTTGACAGATATTTGCGACTTAAAACAAAAGCAGTCTGTGTTATGTGATCTCTAGTACAACAAAACTGACAAATAGCAATGAATTATTCTAAAATACTAAATATTGAATTTACATATTTACACCACAATGTGTTTATTATTTTTTCTTGAAATATTTATTTTAAGGGGGCTGTTTTAACGTGGATATATCTATTTTTTAAATGCTACATTATATAACTATA